AAACTGCTTTCAAAGGAATGGTGTGATTAGATCAGGCCCACCCAAACAATTTCCCTTGGCTTTATGATGTGACATAATCACAAGAGTAACATCTGGGAGTAGAGGTCATGGAACCATCTTAAAATTCTGTCTACCACATATGTTAAGTGTATATTTATAAGAAATCATCAAACTATTTTCCGAAATGCCTGCACCATTTTACTTCCCAAGAGACGTATATGAGAGTTCCAGTTGCTCCACATTCTGGTCAACACTTGATATTGTCAGGGTTTTTTTTCCTGTGTGTGGGTGGGCAGAGCTTATAAATAATAGTTAATTTATTTCTCACAGTTAGAGAGGCTGGAAGTCCAAGACCAGAGTGCCAAGCAGGGTCAGGCGAGGGCCCTCTTCCAGATCACTGAGTTCTTGCTGTATCCTCTTATGGTAGAAGGGCTGTGTCTTTTTAATTGTAGCTATTGGTGAGTGAGCAGTGATAGCTCTTGGTGGTTTTAATTTGCATTTCCCTAATGACTAATGATAATGAGATCTTTTCATATGCTTATTAGAGCATAAAATTTTGTTTGATGAAAGGTTCAGCTGCTTTTTGTAAAAAAAAGGTCGAAACCCACTGTCTTAGATAAACTATGAGGCTCTTACAGAGTCTGTAATCTGTGAATCTCTTAGTGGGACCCAGGGCCCATCTCCTTTCCTGAAACAAAACAGTGTCTTAAATGTAGGTAAATCATCAGTATAAGCACTGTGCTGTATGTGTACATGAGAGATGAAACCAACAAACATTTCTTCATTATCTACAGGGCCGCAGTCCCAATCTGAAATTATGAAATCCAAATCATTCTGAAAACCAAATTTTTTTTCTTATTTGGCATCAAAATCCATTGATAGCAAAACCTATGGTTTTTGTTTTTGTTGTTTTCTTGCAGAAGGATCCTCTATTGTCCCATGCCTGTGTTGGCTGCCTGGAGGCCTTGCTTGACTATCTGCATGCCAGGAGCCCAGACATCGGTAGAATCCCTCCCTATTCTCTAATGTTCCCATGGGGGAAATGAGATGGTGCCAGCTCCTGCCACCTGACCCAGACTGCCATCCTCTGATCAGAAATTTGCATTCATTTTTTAAAAATTCTTTTAACTCTGCAAGGGCAGTTTTGCCCAGTATACAGATGAGGACATTGAGGTTCAGAGAGGTCAAGCAACTTACCCAATCACCGTCACAAAACTCTTAAGTGGCAGAGCACTTCCTGTTGCCTGCTTCCTACAATATGGGATGTGTGGTCTTCCTGAGTCAGGCAGCATAGGTGGACAGAATCCCAGGGAAGAAAGAAACTTCCTGGGGTCAGCTCGTCCAATGCCCTGCCTCTAGCTGAGCGGCCCATTTTGAGCCAATAGGAGAAAGTCCTCCTTAGTAATGTTCCAAAGCCTTTGGAAAAGCAGCAGTAACAATCCAGGGTGACTGGTGTTTCCTTTAGCACTCCACGTGGCTTCCCAGCCCTGGAATCGGTTTTTGCTGTTTACCTTCCTGGATGCCGGAGGCAGCTCCTTCCTCAGACCAGAGATCTTGAGGCTCATGACCCTGGTAAGTATGAAAAGGATGGTCTTGTGGTCTGAAGAATGTCATGAGCTGGGTGGTCCTGTGGAGGCCAGGCACACCTTACTTTAGGTAACCCTAATCCTTGAAGTTAGAGGGGCTGGGCAAGCCTTCACCCTACAAGAGGTCTGCTCAGAGAACTCCTCTAAATGCCCACATCTCCTCACCCCAAAAGAGCCAGACACTTTCATTCACTCATTCATGAAACATTGACCAGAGCCTAGCCTGCCTGCTAGGTACCAAAGACGCTGATGAGCGAAATGCCCTGCCTTTAAGGATCTTTCAGTCTAGAAAAGGAGAGAGACAAGGACACTATAGTTAAGATGTGATGGTATAAATGATAGAGTAGAAGATATGCTAAGTGCCTGGCATGCAGTAAGTGCCCACTGAATAAACAACAAAGCAGGGAGTCTGTGATAGTGAAGTGAATCAATGAATAAATCAGTGCTTGGTGGGGGAGCACAGAGAAGAGAGTAAGTACTTTTGCCAGAGCTGGGAGGGAGAGGTGAATAAGAATGTAGTGAGCACTCAGTACCTGTCTTTACTACAATGAAAGAACATTCATCAGTGAAAGTAACATTTTAGCTGAGGCTTGAATGGTTAATAGGCAAAGGGGAGGAAATGTAATCCAGGTAGTGAAGTGAGAACAGGCTACAAGCACATGGCAGTGTGTTTGGGTAACCACACATGGTCCATTTTGACAATGAGTGTGTGGTACAAGGCCAAGGGGCAGGCGAGGAATGTACCGAAGGGTGCAGCAGGACCAACTAACTCAGGGTCTTGCAGTCTGCCTCATTTATCCCACTTTCCCATGACAGAGCCCTGCTCCAGTCCACCAGCTCTGAGCTCTTTGAAGGCAGGGTGCTGTTGGTTACAGATCTGTGTCCTCAGCCCAGTGCAGAGCACAGCAGGGGCACAGGAAATGTCTGAATGGAGATGCTGAATCACTGCATGTTTGGGGGTTTCTCTCCCTGGACCAGTTTGTGCGGTTCCAGAGTAGAAGCATCCTCTCTCATGAAGAGGTGGATCTTGTTCTGCGAAGCGCAGCTTTGGCTGACCTCTCTACCCTCTCGAACAGCACACTCCGGGCTCTGCATGGCTTCTTATTGCAGGTGGGTAGGAAGGGGATGCCATGTAGCCATTCTGAGGTTAGACCCTCCACACTATCTTCTGTGTGGAGGGTGGGAGTTCTGGCCACAGCAGCCAATGGAGGTGGTGGATACAAGGGGTGGAGGGTAGAGAGGGCCTGTGTGGAGTGGGCTCTGGGAGACCTGTCTTCTCTGCCTTTTTCTCCCCTCAGGTCCAGAGCATGGGCCTCCCAGCTGATCATAGCATAGCCCAGACCCTACAGGTCTTGGAAGGCCTTTCCCCCAGAGGCTCCTCAGCCCAGTCACCCCTGCAAGACATGCTGTATCCTTTCTTGCATCTGGGAGCTTTGGCCAGGGCAGAGTCACCCAGGCTATGGGATGGTGTGGCATCATTCTTCAGGACAGGGTGGTGCGCTACCTCTAGCCCAGTCCTCTAAAGTAAGCAAGAGTCAGTGAGAATAATTAATAGTGATAGCGATGACAATGACTTGTTCTGTTTAAGATCCTCCCAAGGGCCAGCCACATTACATGCACTGTTATCTAATCCTCATAGCAGCTAAAAGTATTAACATAGTTGTAACAGACCAGACAGGTTAAATGACATGCCCAGGATCACACAGTGGTAGCATCAGGATTTGATCCCAGATTTGCCTGTCTCCAAAGCCACATCACCAAACTCAGGAAGGAGCTAGTCCTTCTCCAAGAATTCTGGAGAAAGTTCCCCAGCTCAGTTGGCACAGGTGCTTCCCTCAACACAACATGGTGGTGCTGGGTAACTGGTATGTCCTTGAGAAAGCTTGGGGCTGTGGGCAGTGGTCAGAGGCCCTCTTGGAGGGTTGTTGTGATAGTCTAGAGACACTTTCATCTGGTGTGTGTGTGGTGGTGATACTTCCTCCCCTACCCCACCGGCTGCCTTCCCAGCTTTCCTCTTCTTTTTATGGAATAATTCCCTGTCGCATAGCAACTACCAAGCCCCAGAGTTCAGGTCCGGATTTTAGAATCCAGCCCACTATTCTTGGGAGCACTTCTGTTCTTGTCTGACCCTTTCTGCCTTTTTGGGGCTCTGGAGCGTGGTTCTCCTTTGGTTGGCCCCACGTCTCTGCTGTTTTCCTCATGTTTTGCTGCCAGCTGCCTGGGAGGGGTGGCTGTATCTCTGTCCCACATCAGAGACTGACCCTCGGGACTTAAAGGTCCAGAAATGGAGAGAACTGAGACCTGAAGAAGACAAAGTCAGGCCACAATAGTTGGGGAAATGGATGACACTGCAGCCATTTATCTGAATCCATTTATTCCACTGTTGAAACGGAATCAGGAAATAAAATGATACACTCACGTGCCTGTGTGAGCTGTCCAAAAACATTTCACTCTCAACTTATCTTGGCCCCTTCTTCCTGGTTCCTCAGCCAGGATAGATGGTCTCCTCAGAGACGGCGCTGGGGGCCGAATTTCCTCTGGTAACATAAAGAGTGACAGTGCTAGTGAGTGCCTTGGCTGTACGCAGAAAACGCAAGCCAGGCCATCCTCGGGGCTGGACGGGCAGAGAAAGGCCATGTGTTTGGTGGTGCTGCGATCCCCGTGCTGACAGGCACTTTACCCGTTGCTTTACCTCATGTGAAAATGGAGAGGTATAACTTCCAGGCAAGGAAGCTGAACTTCCAGCTCTCCAGTTCAGCGAAAATGTCCCAGCTTAGACCTTCCTGGGTAAAGCAGATCCCGTGTCCCTTTCTCTCAAGGCCCTCCTCGGAGCTTGCATTTGTATACCCACGTGTGCGGTTCTTTTAGCCTCTCCCTTTCCAAGCTCAGCCCAGCAGGCCTCTCGCTCCTTTCCCGCCTGCCTTGCCGAGGTCCCCGGTGTCCAGAACTGGCTAACCCACCTTACTTCTCGGATCTGGCTATACTGACCCAGCAGAAACTTCGTCCTAATGAACTGACGAACTCCGTTTAGAAATTGGTGGACCGGAGAGGTGAGCAGGTGATGCACTAACTGCGCACTGCAGGTTCCTTAAAAAAAAAACAAAAAACTGCTAGTCACGACCCGCTAAACTGATCTTGCCAAAACTGTCAGCTGAGGAAACAGTTTCGTGGACGGGGCTCCCGGCCGGTGTCAGGGCCCAGGTTTTGACGCACCCTTAAAGTTGGTGGCCGACTTAACTTCCTCCAACCGGATCTTTATCGAGCACCACGCACCCCTACGGCGGCGCATGGTGGTTGGGATAAAACTCCACAGTACCTCCACACGAGCTGTGCCCAAGCCCGCCGAGCCGGGGCCGGAAGTGAAGTCAGCCTCGCTGGCGACGCGGCCAGCGCTTATTGGCCAGGAGCGGCGCAGTGGGCGGGGCTGCGGTCCTAGTGCTGCTGGTCGCGGTTACTGTGGGGTTCGGCGCCTGTGCTGGCTTCCCAGCGAACCCTCGAGCCGAGCCACACGCGGAGGGCTTAGCTGCCTGCCCCTTTTCGCATCGCCTATCCTGGTAGGTGAGGAGGGGTCGCCGGGCAGGAGGTTTCCCAGTGGGAGTGGGGCGAGCGCAGGCCTAGAACAGGCTGCAGGGGAGTGAAATTCGGGTTCCCGGTCGCCTCATCTCGTTGGAAAGGCTCATTCTCTCCTCCCGGAACCCGAAAGGCCAGGGTCCGCAAGCTCAGGGCCCACCACCACCACGCCACTCTTGCAGAATGGGTTCCTACGCGGAGCTGAGAAGAGGTCAGAACGCACGGGCCAGGAGCGGGGTTGAGAGGCCAGATAAGTGGGAGTAACAGGGAAGGCAGGATCCGCCCCCACGCACTCCTTTTTCGGCTTTCTTTTCTCACTTCTTCCCTACTTCAGTCATTACCTTGCCATCTGATATTTCCCTGGCCCCAAGTTCTGCTCTAGCCTGGGTCCGGTTTTCTTGAGTCTGGAGCGTGACATTGGAAATTAGGGGATCCTGGGTGAACTTGGACTACTTTTCATTCTCTAGCTTTCAGTTATATGTGTGGTGTGTGGACGATTCTCTACATGACCTCTGTGAGATCTCACTGTCAATAACTGAGCATCTCTCCCTTGCGGCAGGTGTCCTAGTAGAACAGTCGCCCCCTCAGAGATAGCCTATGCCCATTTAGACTCTTGGTTTAGCCTGGGAATAGCTGAGTGACTGTCTTGGTTTCCACATTGGTAAAGTTGGGCCCCGGTCATCCGAGTTTGCGGACTTCTCTGACCACTGTATTTAAGATTGCACCCCACTGACTCCCTCTCATCTTTCTGTGCTTGTTTTACAAGTTAATTGGTTGTCTCTTACCCCTACTGAGAAAATAAGTACCGTGAGTGCAGGGAGTTTTATCTTATTCACTACTGTACTCCCAACTTTAGAACACTGCCTAGAACATGGTAGGTACTCAATAATTGGGGAATGTTGCCTAAATAGGAACAGGTGTTCCTTGTGGTGCCTATGGTTCCAAAGTGAGTGAGCAGTATCCCTTTTACCCGAAAACAGCCCTGCCTCCCTTCCTGCCCTGCATCCCTTCTTTTCTGATGACAGAAGTCAGGGAAGACCAGAAGTTTTACATACTCTATGACTTCTTGGGTTTCCTTGACCAGATACATTCCTAGGGAGGCCAGGATAGGAGGGTGGGTTGAGAGAGAATGATACTGACAGGCCCCTCCTTCCCCAGGCACAGTGCCTCACCCATTCCTCCCTCCTTGAAGCACGGAAGTGACCTCCCTATCCCTGTTTTACAGTGAGGAAGCTGAGGCTTAGAGAGGCTGAGCATTTTGCCTGTGGTCCCACAGTTGGAAAGAGCAAAGGCTCCAGCCCAGAGCTCCAGATGCTAATCCCTGCGCTCTAAGCATCCCTGCACTGATGACATTTATCTCCTCCCTCCCTCCTACCATCCCATAGTCTTTATTGTGTTTCTGCTGTTCACAGACCCTGGGCTAAGGACTGGGGCTCCAGGGCTTCCCAAAGCAGGGTTCTTGGTATTTGGAGGCTATGCCATGTTGTGGGAAGTTGCCATTCACCTCACTCTATATAACACTAAGCTCTGAGTCTTACTTCCTTTCTCTGGATAACTTACCTAGCTCCAGGGTTGTGGACATGGACCTTCTTCAGTTCCTGGCCTTCCTGTTTATCCTGCTACTGTCTGGAACGGGAGTCACAGGTACCCTAAGGACCTCCCTGGACCCGAGCCTGGAGATCTGTATCCTTTGGGTTGAAGATGGGGTTAATGAACTGTGCCTGAGGAGTCTAATAAATGAGTTCTCTCTATACCCACAATCCCTTGGGGCATTCCAGGGATGGAGCAGGCCCAGCAGAGGGGAACAAGAGAGAAAATGTAAGGTACTCTATAATTAAATCTTGATCAAGTCAGTTCTTTTTTGAGCCTCAGTTTCCCTATTATGTTAGATGGAGGAGGCAAAGCACCTCTCTCAGAGCCATGAGGGCTCTACAGATTGTACATATATGCCTAACACCTGTGGGCGAGACCCTGGGCAGAGACTCAGGCACTGGCGTCCTGGACCACCTACTCTGGGCCAGGCTTTGGGGACACAAAGATGAGTCAGGACCAGTCCCTGGCTTTGAGGCCTTCAGAAGCCTCATATTGCACTTTTGATCAATGCTCTGATGGAACATGGGAGGGGCAGGGGAGAAACACTGCTGTGCCTTTTGAACTGAGTCTTGAAAGAATAGAAACTCAGAGAAGGGTGGGGGATATCCCAGGCAGAGTGCACAGAGGAGTGGAGGTTCTGGAAATAGTGAATGGTTGTGGGAGATGGAGGGAACGCCATGGGGAGGGGAGGGGAGGGCAGGGCAAGAGCCAGGTCCTTAATGGTTGTGTTCAAGCTCTTGGTTGCAGAATCCTCCGAACTGGACAAATGATACATTGCAGGATGCGTATGCTTCTCAGACAGTTTATTCCTTCCCTGGGGGTTTAGGGGGGTGGGGTGGTCTCAGGCTTGGGCATCTGTGGCCCTTGCAGATACTCATTGGTCAAGAATGGGACCTTTGGGTTGAGACCACTGAATTATCCAGGCAGGAATATTGGTGCCCGTTCCTTAACGCTGCTCAGACAAGAAGATGTTTGAGGTGAAGCGGCGGGAGCAGCTGTTGGCACTGAAAAACCTGGTCCAGCTGAATGATGTCCACCAGCAGTACAAGATCCTTGATGTCATGCTCAAGGGGCTCTTTAAGGTACGTGCAGGCACAGGGCAGCTCATGGCAGGGCTAGTCTTTGATCTGGGCACTGAGGGATGAGTAGGAGTTACCTAAGGGGGCGGTATTCCGTTAGGGAAGGCTGCATGCTCAAAAGGTTTGAAGTAGGGTTTAGGTGAGTGGGGCTGGGGCTGGTCTGTGAAGGCCTCTGCAAAACTACTCAGCCAGGCGGGGGTCTCTCAGGTGCTGGAGGACTCCCGGACAGTGCTCATTGCTGCGGATGTGCTCCCAGATGGGCCCTTCCCCCAGGACGAGAAACTGAAGGATGGTATGGTCTTCCCACTCTCCTCCCATCCTCCTCCCGACTACTTTGATTTTCTCTAGTTGTTTTTTCCTTCCTGTTCTTGTCACTTTTTTCCCTCTGGAAGTACCTCTTGTGGCACCTTCCAAGTGTTCCTCTTTGGTGAATGGGCACTTAGTATATGGTTGTTCAAGAATTTCTGGGCTTCAGAGCCAGTCTTTGTGCCCTTGACACAAATGTATTCCTTTGTGCTTGGGGCAAGGGAACCAGGAAGGAGCCTCTGCCTGCTATCACGCCAGGGGTCCTGGCCTTTTCCACCACCCTGACCCTTCTGGTAGAGAAGGCAAGGGTTGTTCCCATTTACAGGTGAAAAAAACAACCCTGTCACAATAACTGGCCAGTGCAGGCAGTTACCAGCACTCTTTACTACTATTCTGAAAGCCCCAACTCCCTGAAGTCCTTTTTGAGTTAAGAGGGGACAAGCATGGCTAAATAAGATGAAAGAATATTCTGTGTCCCTTCATCCCCTCTTCTAAGAATTTCCAGTGGTAATTTTCCCATTAATTGGTTACCTTCTAGCAATAAAATTTTGATTACACTGAGAGAGGATGAAAAGATAAAAGTAGCTTTTAAATATTGAATATTGGGTACTTTTACAAATATCATCTCTAATCTCCGCTGTAACTGAGAAAGGTACTATTAGCTCCATTTTTTCAGATGAAAAAGGATAAGTGGTTTGCCTTGGCTCTGTAAACCAAACCCATCCCTGAGTTCTTTGAGGTTCAAGATTGTTCTGAAGCCCAGGTCTCCAGGCCCCACTTGCCCCAACCTGGCATATCTTTGGAGGAGTCCGCTTGTCTCTCTGTGTGGCCGGGTCAGTGCTGGTGAGGACTGCCTGGGCCTTACCTGCGGGACTCAAAGAGGACTGGATCCATACTTATTTTTCATGTTAGCCTGGGTCGGGGGGACCTGCCACTATGATGGACGCTAAACTCAGCCTAAAGTGACCTGTTGACTAGAGGAAGGATATTAGTGGGGAAATCGATTAAATTCGAATACGGTCTATGGAGTCGTTAATGGTATTGTAGCAATGTTAATCTGTTGGTTTCCATCGTTGTACAGTGGTTGTGTAAGATAATAACATTTGAGGAAACCAAGTGAAGGAATTCTGTGGTGTATTATATAAATCTAAAATTATTTTTAAATAAGAACTTAAGCATTTAAAATAAAATTAGAAGAGATTTTTAAAAAACAAACCCTGATATGTGGCCCAGCTGTCCTAGCAGACCTGACCCCTCACAGATGTGATAGTTGTGCCGACGCCAGGGTCCTGCTGTGGGCATTTGGATGACAAGTCGGGGAGGTTAGGGCCAGCAAAGCCTCCTGTGGTGCATATGCCTCCATGTGTAAAATGACACCCACCCCTCTGGTCCCCACAGTAAACTAGTCTTCTAAGCTATGATGTACAGGAGAAAGAGCAGGGCCTTTGCAGTCAGACGGACCTGGGCTAGTAGCCTATATTTGTACCTCGCTAGCCCCTTGAGCCTCATTTTCTCCTGTGTAAAATAGGAACAGCAGCCACATCTCTCTCTGAAGGTGGTTTTGAGGATTCAGTGATCTGGTGTACATAAGGCCCTTAGCACATACTGCACATGGGGGCAGCAGCCTGTGGGCAGCAGGCACTGGTCCCTCCTCTGCTTGGTGGGCTTGCCTCTGTTCTCCGGCGGTTGCCTGGGGCTGGCCAGGAGGGCAGTAGGAGGGCATCTGCCTTGGCTATTCCTCAGGGTCTTCTCTCCAGCTTTCTCCCAAGTGGTGGAGAACACGGCCTTCTTCGGCGATGTGGTGCTGCGCTTCCCCAGGATCGTGCACCACTACTTTGACCGCAACTCCAACTGGAATCTCCTCATCCGCTGGGGCATCAGCTTCTGCAACCAGTCAGGCGTCTTTGACCAGGGGCCCCATTCACCCATCCTCAGCCTGGTAAGGACTGGTGCAGAGGAGGTCTGGACCCTCTGTCTCATGGTGTGCTGTGAGCCTTGCCTCTGCCTGCAGCTAGGCCTGAATGTAAGCCCTTAGTTGTGTTTCCTGTTATGAGCCTCACAGCACCTTGAGGTGTCATCTCAAGGGGTTCTGTGCTGACCTGGGTCCCTAGGGGTCATCACCTGGCCTACATCTGGCAAGCCTTGGGCGTGGGTTCCTATGCAGAGGGAGTGGCCCGCGGGTGAGCAAGAGGCAGGATAAGGCAGGGGATGACTAGCGTTTCCTCATCTGCAGATGGCGCAGGAGCTGGGGATCAGCGAGAAAGACTCTGACTTCCAGAACCCATTCAAAGTAGACCGCACAGAGGTGAGCTGTGGGGATTTGTGCCTCTGCTGAGTTATGGGAAGCCAGGTCCTGCAGGGGCTCAGGTGCTTGGGGTGGTGCATGCAGGATTTGGACTTGGAGCCAGACATGTCTGGGACTGGGTCCAGGAACCATCACTAGTTCACTGGTGCCTTTGGGCAAGCCACTGCCCTTGTTTTAGCCTCAGGCTGTCTGTTCATGGGAGGTGGACCCCATCTGTAGGGGGCAGTCAGAGGCTGTGAACATACCTACCCAGTGTATAATAGGCACCCCACATGAGGTGAATGACAGGGAAGGCAGGGGAGGTCAAGTCATGCTCTTCTTTGCCCTTGAGCCTCTGATCACTGAGGTGGACTTCTGTCCTACATTTCTTCACATGCTCTCATCCTAGGGGCTCAGCGTGGGCTCTGAGAGCTGGAAGCTGTTGGAAAGGATGAAAGATGGGGTCACATGAACTGGAGCAGAGGAGGGGATCAGAGGTGGCAGGGGGGCCAGAAGGGCTAGAGGCTTGGACTTATCAAGTCACAGGCTCACCCTTGGTGCAGGGTGGGTGTCACGGTCCACGAGGGGTCTCAGATTTTGTACCCTCCTTGCAAGCTAACAAGCTAGCCTGCTACTGTTTCATGGTTGCCAACAGGTCAGAGACATCAGAATTTTCTACAGCGAAAGCTATGTCCAGACTGTGGGCCTGATCACGTTGGTTCTCCTTGTTCCCTGAGTCTCCCAAGGGTAACACAGGGGCCCAGGCATGCCGTGCAGACAGTGGGTTTGCATCACTGCCAAGGAACACCAAGCTTGGGAAATTTACTGCTTTTATAGTGAACAGAAACAAACCTGCTCTTTGCGGAGAGATATCACCTCTACCTTCAAGGTTGCTCTCTGCAAACATAATCCTGAAAAATGGCCCAGGTACAGCATGGTCAGGTAGGGTGCTGCATTCTTGGTGTACGCAGCAGGAACATGCAGGGATGCTCAGGTCCAAGGCAGATTGCTTTCCCCACAGTCCACCTCTCAGCCCTACATGTCTTGGCCTAACTCAAATTGTTACATGAGTATACTATTCAGTTTATCTAACCGGGAGAGGCTAGGGTGAGATTTGTTCAATTTGTCTCATACTGCATTTAATTATAGGTGCCATCAACAAGACTAAGCAGCAGGATGAGCCCAGCTTGCAGTATTGATCTTGGCCATGTGCTCTAGGGTCCCAGACTCAGTCAGCTGTGATCATTGCTGAGGGGACCAGAAGGTCTTATTTTAGACAACCAGACTGTGGTCTAAGGCCAATCTGTTACCCATTACCACCCACACAGGAGTTTAGATTGACCTACTGATCTTTGATGTTCTTGCTAGTAATTACAGGGGGCCATAGATGGCCACAGATGGACCCAGAGCAACCTTCATCCCCAGTGGAGAGATACTCTATGGCCCATTGTCTCCCACATGTTACACTTGACTTGGGACACTGCTGAACTCTGAGTTGTATAACCCCAGGCCACACAGGCATCAGGAGATGGAATTGTATTTGTCACATAGAAACAAGGTTGTACTGGCCTGTACGTCTGCACAGGGTCACTTCAGGAGCTGCCTTTGATGGCCAGGCACAACAGAATAGTTCATTACTGACTGTGCATGTCAGTTTTTCTATCACATGTTTGAGAATGACACACCCAGCAGCTGGTCAGATTGTCATCTGCAGCTGCCACTTGGCTTGGGCAGACCCTAGGATTGTTTTGCCAAGTGGCAGTGCTGGATCTAAAGGACCAAGAGGATTAATTGTTCCCTTCCCTCCTGGGATCTAAGCTGTTCTCTCCTTGGATGTTAGGATTATTGCTACAAAATCGGAATGCCATATGCCAGGACCTATAATTTCACTTTTTCTTCAATCATCCCCTACTCTCATCTAGATATATGTCCAGAAGGGTCAGATGTGAATGGGGGCAAGGGCATTCTTACAAAATTTCAGAGGCATATCATATCTCACATCGTAGCCCACATGGACTACTGTAGAGGGATTTGGCAAGGAATGTACTCAACCAATTGGTCATTATTTTAGTGAGCTTGAGTCCATACCATTCCGACCAGGGACTTCAGGTGGTCCAACCAGAAATAGAAAGTTGACTTTGTGCCAGTCCACGGTGTGTTGCCAATTCTAGTACAGTGGTGCATTCCGGTGGTTGGTAATGACTGTCATCTGTGTCATGTAGCCTTGATCAGCACTTTGAATCAGGTCCATCTTATCAGAGAGAGGGCCTTGCTATGGGCATCTAAGTGAGAGACCCAGACTGTCCAGTTGTCAACCACAGTTTGTTTCCATGGTTCATGGCCCCGAAGAGGGATGGCTGTCTTTGATCTGCCAGTCTGCAGTCTTCTAAGTGACAAACCAAGTGGCTAGGACACTGACAACAGTTAGTAAAAATATAACATGCCCATCATTTGGAGTATTGTCTAGTCAAAGATGTGGGCTTTGAATTCAGGTTGTTGTCTAAGTGGCCTTTATGGCAGCTAGTCTTCCAGTGTTGTCACTGGCTTCTGCTGCCCATAGACAGCTATGTCAGGGGTCCTAAAACTGCCCCCAGGTTTGATGATTCACTAGGACTCGCAGACTCTATGGTCATGTTCACAGCCATGGTTTATTACAGTGAAAGCACACAAAGCAAAGGGAAAAGGCGCATGTGTGAAGTCTGAGGGAAACCGGGCACAAGCTCCCAAGAGTCCCCTCCCAGTGAAGTCACACAGGGCATGCTTAATTACCCCAGCAACAGATGACAATATGTGTGAAAAGTTGTCTATCAGGGAAGCTCATTAAAGACTGCTGGCTGGTCACATAGGCACCTTCTGCCTAGCACATACAAAATTTGAGAACCCCCAGGACGAAAGCAGGTATTCAGCATAAAGCACATTGTTTGCACAAACAGCTCAGGCACAGGGAGCCACTTTATCATTTAGGATGGTGGGAGCCCTCTCAGAATCCAAGTTCCCAGACTCCAGCCAAGAGCTAACCTTGGAAGTAGGCGTTTCAAAGAATGACATTCAGGTTGGCGATGTTAGCTCTTTTCTGCATAGCACCACTTGCTACTAATTCATCTGAACTATCAGTGGACCAGGCCTGAGTGTTTAGGGTCATCTCTGAATAGAGTACCTTGTTGAGGCAGTGGCTTTACTTCAGGCAGCAGAGTTGGGGATATAGTTTTCCCAACTAGGGAAGCCACCACCTCTTCATGTAAAACCAAGATGACACTTTCCCCAGCGTTGCTTGCTGCAGTCACAACCCTGATAAGTACCCCGGGTAAGGAACAGTGAGGGCTGGGTCCTTGGTGTACCCAGCAGGGATGCTCAAGGCTATGGTAGATTGCCTTTCCCAAGGAGAACATGTCCACAGGGAGGCTTTATTGCTGTGGTGCTGGCTCTCCTCACCCTGCAGGTCACAGACATCTCTTAACTGGGAGGGTGAGAGCATGCACCACAGAGAGAGTGGACGCCAGGGGAGATCTGGTTCAGCTGCATCGTGATGTGCTCTGCTTGGACATACTATAGCAGCAACACACTCTCCTCACTGGCTGGAGGCAGACCCAAGATTTTCCTCACTTTCGATGTCTACCACGGACCTGTCTACCCGCAGAACCCGGGCTTGCTCAGCTCCCCTCAGATGCTCCCTTTACACTGGCGAGTGTTCTGGGAGTCCTCTCCTACTTTGTACATAGCCATCGCTAGAGACAACTTGTGTCAGGCTTTGTGCTGGCTGCCGTCCCTGTCTAGAGGGGGCTGGCGGCAGGGAAACACGGTCCCAATCCAGCATGATCACTGTGCCAGTGGAAGTGGTGAGCCGTGGGAGCCCTGAGGGGGAGCCTGACCCAGCCTCTACAGATAGGTGGTGGAGGCTCTGGAATGAGTAAGGGTTGCCAGGTAGACCAGCTCAGGGAATATCTTCCAGACAGAAGGACTAGCTTCAACAGGGGCTCAGAGGCATAGCATATTTACTCATTAAGCATTTAGTGAGCACCTACAGAATCCTGGCCACTAGAGAAACAGACCAGCCCTGCTCTCCTGGGAGTGGCATTCTTGTTGGAGGAGATAGTCAATAAAAAATATATACTATGGTAGGTGGCAATGAGGGCTATGGAGAAAAAAGCAGGGGAATGTAGTTAAGGAGTTCCAGGGTACAGTGGAGGTACAGTCGCTATTTTGCGTGACTTGGACACAGATTCTTATTGAGAAGACCTGAAGGAAATGAGGGAGCCAGTATATAATCCGGGGGGACAACATTCCAGGCTGAAGGAGCAGCAAGCACAAAGGCCCTGAGGAAGCTTATTTGGAGGGGTGAGGAGTGCGAGGAGGCACGATCAGAGTTGTGGGCCAGGTCCCAAGGCCCTTGCAGGGCTTCTCAGGGGCATTGGCACTTACTCCAAGAGCAGGGTGACGGGCTCTGACTTACCCCTTTAAAGGGTCAGCCTGGCTGCTGTGTGGAGAATAGTCTGAGGACCAGGGTGGAAACGGACACTGGTGAGGCTGCTGTGCTTTTCCATTTGGGAGTGGATGGTGGCTTGAACTGGGTGACACAGTGTGGCTGGTGAGAAATGGTGAGATTCTGCTCCTGTTTCGAATGCACAGCCAATAGAGTTTGCTAAGGAAGCAGATACAGACTGAGAGAAGCATTAAGGATGACGTGAAGATTTTCGGCCTGAGCATGTGGAGGAATGGGGCTGCCATTTTCTAAAATGGGCAGACCATGGTAGGAGCAGGTTAAGGGCTGGATTGGGGATCAAGACTTTGTTTCTGGACCTGGTGAGCATCTGATTGAGGATGGCGGGGACACAGTTGGCTATAGGGCTCTAGATTTCAGGGGAGAAGTTAAAACTCAAGTTCAAATGTGAGTCATGCATACGAAGAAAATATCAAAAGCCGTGGCCACCATCACCATCACCCTGGACACCATCACCCTGGGTTGCGGGGGGGCCTTGGGGCAGATAGAGAAATGGTGTGAGGACTGAGGCCTTCAATGCGGCTGCAATTAGAGGTTGGGGTCATGAATGAGGAGGAACTAGCTACCCCAAGAAGGTGCAGTCAGCACAAGAGTAGCAAACCTAAGAAAGGTGTTTCCCAGACGCCACGTGAGGAAAGTTACAGGAAGGAGTGATGGGCCTGTCAACGCTGCTGGAAGGTCAAGGAAGATGAGGCCTGAGGACTGGTCACTGGATTTTAGCAACACGGAGGCCATTAGGGATCTTAATGGAAGCTGTTTTGGTGGAGGGCTGCGGACAAAAGATTGGATTTCGAGAGAATGAGAGGAAAGGAATTGGACACAGGAAGTACACACAGCCCTTTTGAAGAGTTTGTTTTCTAGGGGAGCAGACCGATGGAAGAGTTGGAAGAGGGTGTGGTTTTGAGGAGAATTTAGTCAGATGGGAGAGATTATGGCATGTTTGCATCTTGATGGAAATGCCCCCTTAGGGAGGAACTGATGGTGCAGGCATAGGACTGGCTGGGGTCTGGATTGCCAGGCAGCATTAAGGGCTCACTTGAGTTTAGTGTCAGGAACTTAAAGTGGGCATTAACCAGGCCTAGTGGGAAAGGGATCCTCCGGGAAAGGGATGGGCAGTGTTTCTCTTCTGCCCCAGCTAGATTTGGGCTCCCCTGCTGAGGCTGAGCCAGCTGGGGCTGAGGAACCAGGATCTTTTGACTTGCCCGTCCCCAGCCAGAGGGCATGGGGGTGGCCTGAGGGGTCTCCCAGCTCCTCATCTCTCCTAAGAGAATCAAAATTAACTCATAGGGCTAGAAGGCAGAGTGTGGTGGGGGAAGCACTGTGCAGAGAGGTCAGAGGCCTGGGGGCTGGTCCCAGTTGGGCCTCCCACTTGCTGTGTGACTTGAACATATCATTCACCCCCTCTGGGTCACTCTTCTTTGTTTTCAGCCCATCTTCCAGATTTCATGGCTCAATCTAATGTGATAGGTAGATTACTCCACAAGGTGGAGCTCCTAGTTTGTTTTAATATCTACCTTGATCAAACATTTGTCAAATCTGCCCTAAGAACGAATAAAATAGGTATATGTTATAGCATAGCTACCTGAATTTTGAGTACTGTTGTATTTCATATTCTAACATGATTCATTCATCCACTTAAAAAATACATACTGAATGCCATCGACAAGCCAGGCAGGCCCTGTGCTAGGGGCTCATGGCCAAGTGAGCAATGTCAGACACTACCCTCCTGTCCTATTCAGTGGGGATGGCAGACACGAAGCAGGTGATCACAAGGGAGGCGTTGAGAAGGAACTGGAGGAGGCAGTTCCTACCCTCGCCAGGAGTCAGGGCAGGTCCCAGAGGGTGTGACAGTTGAGCTGGAGTTGATGTGGCAAAGAAGGCGGGGGGTGGAAAGCATTCTGGGTCTGGATCACAGCATGTACAGAGGCCTAGAAGTAGGAGAAAACGGAATCCAAGAACCAAAAGGCGGGGAGTGTGAGGGAGGAACAGAGGTGGGCAGGGTAGCCCTGCAGATGCAACTGTGTGGAACTTTACCCTTAGAGTCATAGAGAGTCATGGAAGGGATTAAGCAGGAGTATGACATGGTCACATTTGCATTTTGAAAAGATCTGGCTGCAGTGAGAATGGCTTAAGAGGGACCAAAGTAGGTGTGGTGAGACCTTGGGAGGCCGTCAGAGTCACTGGGAGAGGGGCAGGGGTGGAGATGGGGGTAGTGATAGAAGAGACAGAAGTGTGTGGGCTTGAGAGAGACTTAGGAGTTAAAATGAGCCAGGCCTTAATGATGGACTCTATGAAGACAGAGGGGTATCTGGTGAAGGGTGGGGGCTCTTCAGTGGCTTCCCTACTCGCCTAGACTGGGGCGCGGGGCACCACTGTTCATGAGGACAGGGACGCTGGAAGGGGACTGGGTTTTGGGGAGATAGAGCCATGCCAAGTTGGGAGCATGTTCGGGACATCCTAGTGAAGGTGCCAGGCAGGCGTTTAGTTATGGAGGTGTGAATTTGAGGAGTAACTGACCATACAGACATAACAAGTCATAGGTTTGAAGAGAGCAGAGGGAGAGGACAGGGTCTGGGGGTCATTCTGGAAGAATACCCCCACTGAAGTCCTCACTCTCCTCCGACCCCTGCTCGCCCTTTGTCCCATCTACCGGACACCACTGTCCGCCAACTATGGAAGCCATGAACCTGGGTACCGTCATCTTCTCTTCTTCCCACCCCTTTTTCAGGGTTTGTCAATTTACAGATCAGAATCTGACCTGCCTGTTTCCTGTACACCTCTTGCGTAGACAGGATGCCTGCTATCTCTCATTCTCTCTGGCTACCCTCCCTCCACAAGAGTGGCACCCAGGGCTTGGAGCCCATATGTGGTTATCAGGCACCTTCACCCTTGGAGAAGTCTGTTTATTGTTTCTATGATGCCTGTGCAGGCTCACACATTGGCACCTACCTGTCCCTCTGCCTGGAATGTTCTCCTTCCCTCACCCTGTTTGCTTGTCAGGCCTCTGCTTATCTTTCAGGACCCTCTCAGCAGTTGTCCCCAAGCCCATTTAATTATCTCCATGTCTGCAGTCTCCCTGTGGACAGGATCTGTGTCTAAGCAACCTTTCTGTCCCCACAGCGGCCTGGCTCAGAGTAAACTGCTGCCAGCGGACTAAATCAGACCACTCTGCTCTTGCCCTCAGTTCATTTCCAGCACCGACCCTTTCCAGAAGGCCCTGAGAGAAGAGGAGAAACGCCGTAAGAAAGAGGAGAAGCGGAAAGAGATCCGGAAAGGCCCGCGGATCTCACGATCGCAGTCCGAGTTATAGCCCTGTCGCAGCCCAGGGTCCAAGCGGCCAGGAGGAGGCAGCGTGGCTAAAGTGCAGCGGCATTGACTGGTGGCGAGAGCCAGCCCCTGTGAGGGGGAGGCCACGTTTGCTTGGCTCCCTGGAGCTGGCTCTTAGCTCCAGCTAAAGGGACTGGGCGGCAGGCCAGATTTCCTCCTGGAGGGGGCTTCAAGGGGACCTTCAGAGGACATTTTGCTGCAGACCTAACCCTGTGGAGATGCTGAGAGAGGCAGGAGGAGTCCAGGGCTGAACCCTCCTGGTGGGTTAGGACTGCTGGCCGGCTGGCTGCTGCCCATCATGGGGAGGTAGCAGAACCAGGCTCTGAGCCATGTGTGGAGGTGCCACGCCTGCTGCTGACCCCACTGTGTCACTGAGCCACCTGGCACAAGTTCTAGCCCCCAACGGAGACACAATAAAAGCCAGCAAACCCTCTGGGTCAGCAAACCCTAGTTTGGGCCTCAGGTAGCTGTGAGGCCCTTTATGAGGTAGGTGGCAAGGGGCCTGGGTTGGGGGACCAGGGGCCCTCAGAGATGTAGAGAGCACCTTAGAGGATGTTCCCGTCTCATCTGGGGAGCTCCAGCCCCTGGCGAGGCAGCGAAAGAGGAGCTTGGCTTAGGTCTCCTAATCCTTTCTCAGCACTGCCCTTGACAAAGGATCCGTGTTAGGAAGGGACCAGAAGTGTCCTGGGAGGGTATTTAATCCCAGATGACCTTGGAGCAACATGATCTCTGTCCTCAGCTATCTGGGTACAGTCATTGAACAGCCACAGAAATAGTCAACTTGTCCTCTCTGGCAGTGCTGGGAGGCCCTCGACTTGTGTGGGTGGGGGCTGCAGGGGGACAGGCTGCATCTCTGCAGAAGGCTGTGCTTTGTAATGGCCAGGCTGCTCCAAGCTGGATTGGTCAGAGAGTGAGCTCCCCAGCTCAGGAGGTATGCAAGCAGAAGTCCTGAGTGGGCAGCTGCCCTTTAGTCATGATCTTCCTGGGCAGAGGAGGGAGAGGCTTTGGTGGGAATTCTAGCTCTGTCTGTGACTTTGCCAAGCCAGAGTCTGTCTGCCTCTTAAAAGAGGAGAGATATAATCATCCCAGGAACAGCTCCGCCCCACCCCCCCACCCCCACCATGACAGAGCCCAAGGGAGACCAGACTTGTCTCAGCCCATCAGACTTGCTGAGCAACCCTGGCCCACCCCTTCTCTGTTTGTGGCTTTACTGGGAAAATAAATTTGATAATGTCCGAACTGCTTGCCCAGCCCTGAACTTCTTCTCGGAGGTTGGGGCCTGGCTTCTCAGGGACAGGACCGGACCCTCCTCTGATAGTGTCTTTGTCCCATAGATTTGCTGAGCACCCACTGTATGCACAGCCAAGAAAGGGACCAGTCTTACCTGTTTTCACCTCTTTCCTGTCTGACACTTCTGTCCTCCTAGGCTCTTCCTTCCATACCTTCAGCCTCTCCGTCTTGGTTGATAACTTCCTCTCCTCTTTCAAATGGTCCCAAGTTTTCCCATCTGACACCTTCAGAAAAACAAACAGCGCCAACCTGCTCTCCCCCTCTCTCCTTCCCTGTGGTGCATTGTTGACTGTTGTGGTCACTTGTTCTCCACCTTGAGTGTTACTGCAGGCAGTCTGCCCAGCTCCCCTGCTGCGCGCTGTAAAGGCCTCAGAGTACTGTTTGTTCAGCTTTCTTGCCCCTAGGATTCAGTAAAGTGACGGAAATGCCACCAACCAGATGCACCAGCCTGTGAATGGTGCTGGTATAGGCAGTGGCCACAGATACCGGGGACAGCAGGCAGGGTTGGGGGGAGTTCCTAGTGGCCAGACCCGCTCTAGGGGTGCGCAGCACTGGAAACGGTGATGTTTTCAGCAGTGTTTTCAGCATGGTTTTGGATATTCCTGTCTGTCGAATTTCCAGGCCCAATCTGAGGCACCCCTATAGTCTGGGAGCTCCCCTACAGTCTGGGAGCTCCCCATTATGCTCTAAAGCAGGGTTTCTTACATTTGGGGCCAGATAATTCTTCGTTATGTATGTGAGGAGGACTGTCCTGTGTTGTAGAATATTTAGCAGCATTCTTGGCCTCTACCTGCTAGATGCTTGTAGCAATCCTCCTAGTTATGACAACCAAAATGTCTCCAGACATTGCTAGATGTCCCCTGGGGGCAAAACCTTCCTGGTCCCCAGCCCTTCTCCCTCCTTATCTCACCTCCACATCTTCCTCCAGGTCCCCAGTCACTGCCTGCAGAGAGATGCTATTGATAGTTTCCTCCTGAGAAGATCTGCCCAAGCTTTTGGGTCACCGTGTTGTCCTGGGTCTCTGCCCTTGGTCTGCATCTGCGCTGTCTCTTCCTGATCCCTCTTTCCTCACCTGCCCCTTAAATGAAGTGTTTTTTTTGGTCTTGTCTCTCCTGCTCTTTTTTTCTTGACAGTTGCATCCTCAGACCACAAAGCAGACGGCACTTAAACTCTCTTGCCATTGGATAACCCTCAGTCATTTCAGCTTATCCAAAACCAAACTTGTTATTTCTACCCAGAAGCCTCACCTCTGTGTCAAACCATGGTGTACATGCTCTTGCTTACAAATCCTGGAGGAATTGATATCTGAATTGACTCCTGAAAGACTTGGGGAGGGGAAGTACTGTGAAAAAAGGCCCAAAAGAGGAGGCATCAAAAGTAGTAAATGAAAAAACATGCAGCACTCCCTTCTATGACCTGTAGTTAGGTGCCCAGGCCCTGGTGGGTGTCCGATCATCTAGTCTGGACCCTCCCTTTTCAGATCCTGAGTAGTGACTTGTCTGACGCTGTTTTCTCTTTGGGACCAGCCTCAGTTCTCCCAGCCAAGTCAAGGTGTCAGCTGGAAGTCATGTTCAGTTAGGTGAGATTCAGGACCAGAGGGAGAATGTCAGTGTTTTGCTGAGGCTGGTTCCAGTGCCACCACCTTTCTTTCACAGTTCCTACTGACCCTTCACTTTGCCCCCTCAGACCACTTTGCTAGGAACCAGGGCCTGGCAGGTCCTGCTGGGAGCCGTGGGAGTGCCCACCTTCCTGCCCCGGTGCTCAGGCAGCACTCTTCAGGGAGTTACTGAGGCTGTGGGATGGGAGGGCACTGGATCAGAAAGAGTCATGGTAGGCCAGCAGACAGTCACACATGCACACACACACCCAGTGTGGGGAGCCCCATGAGAGCCACTGAGAGGTGCAGTTGATGGCACTGTCCAGCTCAGTGCTCGGTCCAGAGCAGGGCATCAGGGTTTGCTTTCCTGAAAGTAGACAATGAGAAGAACATTCTTGTCTTTCTTCCCCAAAATAAGACTATTTGTTATATAAGTTCATTATAAAAGGTTTTTTTTTTAAATTATTATTTTTGCCTACAGCACCTAGTCTTCCTAGGTGGTCTCCCATCCAAGTACTAACCAGGCCCAACCCTGCTTAGCTTCCAAGATCAGACATCAGCCTTGTTCAGGGTGGTGTGGCCCTAGACCACAGACTATGGCTCCACTGGGGTGTGAACCCAGGACCTTCTGCATATAAAGCAGACATGCTAACCGCTACACTATGGAACCATGTCCTATAAAAAGTTTTAAACAATACTGGAGCTGCCTGGCTAACTTTAGGTAGAGCACGAAACTCAATACTGAAATACCAAGAAGAAGGTAAAATTCACCCTAAATCACCGTTCTTATAACCATGACTGACACTTTGCTGGTGGGCCCTCCATCCTTTTTGCCCTTCTCATGATCACATAGATCTCCATTTTTTTTCGATTACAATAGCTACCTTATATGGGGACTTACTATATGTCAGGTTATACACCAAATGCTGGCTGGCCCTTGTCCATGTCCTGGCTACACTAGACAGTTCTCACCTCAATTTTAGGTTTCCTTAGGTTTTTATGTTTAATTGTCTGTCTTTTCACTAGACTGGAAGCTCTCAGAGGGCAGGGACTGTTTGCCTGCCACAGAGGTGTTCAATAAATATCAAATGAATGTGCAGATCTCACTGAATCTTCAACTGTGAGGGAGCACTATTCCTATTTAGAGATGACAAAACTAAGGCTTAGAACGGTTACCTAACAGCCTGAGGTCACTCAGTGCATAAGCGGGTGGGTATGTCTGCGTCCATACAGCCCGTGAGCTCCTAAGTCCTGACCTTCACAGGAAACATTTCCCTTTTAACAATATATTGCCAAAGCCTTTGTCGGCAGATACATATTTATGTAGGTAATGTTTAATGATGCCATGGTATTCTATCGTATGGTTATAATTTATTCATCAATGCCTTCGTTACAAGGCTTCCCAGTTAGAGGACGTTGGGATGAACAGCTTTGAACACACTTCTTTGAGCACTCATTCTTTTTATTCCTTAGAATAAATTCCTGGAAGTTTGCACAGTTGTTTACATCGTGACGAGCTGCAAGATGCGGCAGTGTGGTGCTTGAAGGAGTGGGAATCTGAGTGGGCTCCGTGTCAGAATCCCTGCAGAACTTTGTCAAAATGCTCGTGCCTGGGTCCCGCCTCAGGAGGCCAGTGGTCGCCCGGCCCCTGGCATTGTTTTACAGATCTGCTGGCGGTTTCTGAGGGACGTGCCAAGAGATCCTTAGGAAGAAGCACGCGGTCGCCGTAGGAGCAAAGTAGCAAAGGTGATCACTGCGCTCTGCATTTGGACGGCTCGCGGTCACGTCGAGCCTCCGTTTCAGCCTCTGTAAGGGGCTTGGGAGGGACGCGACTTTAACAGTGTTGATACTCCTCCGGGCCCCACCGTTCCGGGGCCAGATTTGATTCTACCCGCTCTCCCAGGCAGGCAGGGCCGGGGTGGGGTGGGGGGAGCACGCTGGGAAGGTGACGTAATGTGCTCACAGCTTGCTCCAGGGGGCGACCCGCGGGCCGGGAGCGTGTTAACCCTTTAGACCTTGGCGAGTGGATGGCGTAGCTTGCGGAGCAGACCCAGCAGAATAGCGAGCGGCCCCTTTAAACGAGGAGAAGGAGGTTGGGCTTAAAACCAGAAGGCTCCTCTTCGCATTCGCTACGAGACCGCGAGAGGAGGGACCTCACTATGCAAATCTGAGCTGCTGATCGATGACGCGCCATCACCCCACGCGCCGCTTCGCGCGCCGATTGGCTATGACGGCCCTGGTCTCATTGACAACAAACAGGGGTGCGCGCGGCCTGGGGGCGGGGCCGCAGAAGGCGCGGGTCGGGGTGGGGGAATCCCGCCCCGCCCCTCCCGCGCGCTGCAAACATGGCGGAGGGTGGCACCGGCCGGTGAGGCGGTACCGGGCGGGGGTGTCATGGGTGGTGGCGGCGGCACTGACCCCGCATCTCCCTGAGCGGGACCACAGGGAGGCCTCTTCGCGGAGCCGAGCGATGGACGAGAGCGGCGAGCTGGGCGGTCTGGAGACCATGGAGACGCTCACGGAGCTTGGCGACGAGCTGACCCTGGGGGACATCGACGGTGAGTGGCGGGTGAGTGGGTGGGAGTGCGGGGGCGCGCGGGGAGGAAGGGGTTACGGCGGCGCGCGCGGGTGCACGTGCCCCCCCCGCCCCGAGCTCCGGCTCGCGCCGCACGCGCGGTCGCCCCAGCGATCCCCAGCCTTTCCGGGCGCTGCGGATTTGAACCCCAGCCTGGCTGCTCCGCTCGGGAAGGCCATGGGATCTGCTCCCGGCGCCATATGTCTTTAACCGGAGCGAGGGTCGTGAGGCCGGTAGCGCAGAGCTGGGGGCGTCGCGGGGGTCGGTAGGGAGCGACCTGAGGAGAGCGCGTGGCCGCCGGCTCCCTCGCGCGCCCACATGCGCCGCCCCGGGTCCCGCTCTCCCGTCGCCCGTGGCTCCGCGTCGCACCTGTCACTCCTCACCCGGCTGCGGGGGTGGCTTTGGCATTCCCGGGACCGGGCCCCCAGGCTCAGCGACCCCAGCCCTGGTCTTTTGGATTTGACCCACGGCTGGGTCTCCCGTCGCTCTCGAAACTTTAAGCAGCGAGCGGTTGCAGAAGCAAGTTGCTGATGAAGCGACCGGTGGCGGCGGAGTGTGGACGTCTATCTCCGGAATGGAGACATGGGCGTTCCTG